GCCGTTTCAAACTTGTACTTCATTAGGCAAAAATTGTATGGGCTATATACATAACTGCATACCCAAAAATACTCTAAAGATTCAAATTAAAAAGTTTAAATTTTGATAAAAATTTGTCGAATTTTCCAAAATTGTGTATAAAGTTTGACTCGCATGGTAAAGCTTGGACGGTATTTTAATTGAAAAATAATAAAAAAAATTAGCTCGAAAAACATTACGTATATTAAAAATATATATATATCAACACGTGGTCATTTGATTGAGTCACTGTACATACTTGCAAAATTGTATATGTTTTTTTTAAGAAATTGATTAATATTGCGTTGTTTATATGAACTTTTCAGCTCCCATTGATGATGATAATATTTCTGGTGCAGAGAATGAGCAGGGCGCCATAAAAGCAATTCATCACGGTCGGCGATTCTCGCGCAAGCTTAAACGACGCTTAACCCAGCGCACCCTGGCCGAGGCGCGAGCTTTGAAAAAGCAAAGTAGAGAAGCCATTAACATACTCATCTATGCGGCAGAGTTGGTTAGTATAATTACCAATTGCAAATCGAATTTACTTGCGTATGTTTTCATATGTATGTATTCAAAACGTAAAGATTATCACAAACTGTGACCCGTTAATTGGTACCATAACACTGTAGATCAGGTTTGTGCCCAACAAATCTAGCCATACAAAAACAACGTCAATAAAAATTACAACAACATCGTTTTCGGAATAGCAAAAACTACTACAACCCAAAACTATTTGGGCACTAAAGGGCAGTTCTGGTGACAGTTTTTCAACGTAACACAGACTTTCGAAAGAAGGTTTTCGTAAGATAATTGTCAATTCGGGCAACTATCTTTAAAGCTCTCTTCTGTCCTTCGAAAGGCCAATTGAAAGCTCTACTAAAGAGGATGTCTTAGGTCTTAGCGTTATTCGGTTTGTCTTTTAGCCATAAGTTTTCTAAAAATTTTACTGATAGAAAAAAATTCTTTTTAAAATAATAAAAACTAAATATTAAAAGAAAACTAAATTGAAAAGGAAAAGATAATAAATAAAGTACAAATAAAATAATCAAAAATTACATGAAATTAAAAATATTTAAAAAAGAAAATAATTAAAAAATGGGCAAACTAATTCCTGAAAAAAAAAATTATAAAAAAAGTTTCTAAAAATTAAATGAAACTAACAAGTATTTTTCTTTTTAAAACAATATAATCGAAAAAATTAAAGTAACCAAATTAAAAAGGAAAAAAAAATAAATAATACATCAAATAAGTTTCTAAAAATTAAAATAAATTTAAAAAATACAACATTTTTTTTCAAAAAAGTAATAGATGCTGCTTACTGAAAAAAAAAAATTACTAAAACATAACGAAAAAAATTCCGCTGTCCGAGGATTCGTGTATCGCATCTCTCGTGTTTTGCTCAGTCTGCGATTGCGACTGTTGTAGCAGCGCGAGTAATATAACTACAGCGCAAGTAGTGTAACTACCTATGTACATCTCAATTTGGAATATGCTCAAGTGCTTTCCGCCAATCGAGCTTTTCAATATGAAATTTGGCAAGGGAACTTTGTTTTAAATCTTTCAACTGTTTTACAAAAGTCTTGCAACTATCTAAGGCAGAATTGCCTTATAAACTAACAACAAAGCAAGGATCAAACCTATTGCTTGTTGTCGAATCTAATAAGGAAAATAAAAAAGAGCCTAAAGAGCTTGTCACACGTGGCAATGCAATATATTTCGAAAAAGCTGTCACATAGGGAAATTTAAGAAAGCAGTTGCATGGGCAATCACATCTTGCATGTAAAGTGTCTTTCGAAAGAGGTAAAATTTCTGAAAACGCTTTTTGGCTGTTCGCACAGCGAATAGATCTACTCTTTCTCGATACTAAAATGTGTGCCTGACAGCTTTTCAAGCTCTTCGCTTTTACGTCTTTCTTCTTCTTAAAAATACGCGTGTCTTCCCTATTTTTCCCGATACCACTCAGTTGTCGGCATTGGCTACAGAGCTGCGAAAAACTCCTCGACATGCCAGTTGTCACATAAATTACTAAAATAAATGCATATTTTTAATTTTGTCATTTACTTGATTAATCTTTTTTTCGAAGTAATTGCATTTACATATAGTTGAATAATTTTTTTTTTTCAGATTGCCACTGACCCGAAGTTGGCGCTACAAAAATCCAAAGAACTATGGGACTATCTCAGCGAAGATGAGCCGGAGAATCAAGCGCGGCCAGTTAGTTTGGAGCAGTTAATTGTTCTCTTGACTCGCGAGTCAGCACGCCGCCTGGTACATTTGGTCAATTTTAGCGCAAATATCGCGGCAAACATACCAAAGTATTTATTTTACTTTTACACACATTTTATTTTAAATCTTTGTCTATTACACAGGTCCACAAGAAAAAATCGATGAAAGGTTCCTTGGATCAAGCCTAGTCTGTTTCTCTGTCACGTAAAATCCGAAACGTTTTTTGAGGTTAGAAAAAAATCCAGACATGATGGACGGACTTCAGAGTCGTATTCAGCGACCCCTAAAACATATAACAGACTAGGTTTGGTCATGAGGAATCTTTCATCGATTTTTTTTGTGGACCTGTATTATTTAAATTTTTATCAATTATTACAAATTGTTCTTAATCCCCTTCGCTTTTCAGAACTATGTCTCACACTACCACTGAAGTCGTCCATCTCATAATCTACTTTAATAATCGCCTTATTAGCATTACAAAATTGGATAAGGTTAAGAATATGTCCAAAGAAGAAGCTGAATCTCTAATTAAACGTGCCCTGGCATTCTATAGCAGTCTTCAAACCATCAGTAATACCTACTTGGTAATACTCGTACCACTTATGTAGTTACCCAAGGCGAGATAGAATTTTTAATATACATATTTTCATTTCGCTTTCTTTTTTAGGAACGTTTGGCTACCTTTCTCTCTGGACGCATAGAAGCGGAAAAAGTTACTGTTCCCGCCATTTCAACCACAATGTCATCATCATCCAATGCAAGACGACGAATTGAAACGCAGGACAATAATGTTCCTGCTCCACATATAAATGGCGTTTACTGAGAACTAGAATTTTTTGCTTTTGTCGTATTTTTATTTCTAATCATCGAGTTTTATTTTTACTCTCATATTCGTACTAATACATAGTTAAGTTGGAAAAAGAAAAACAATATTTAGTATCTATCAGCGGATTTATTTTCCATTACAGTTTTCATTGCATCTTAAATACAGACGAACCCACAGAAAGTTATGTTAAGTGGTTTTTGCATGTGAATAAGAGAGCGAAAAATTTCCACGTACAGTCAAACTTCCGCAACTCGAACCAAACATAGTAGCCATAGAATTTAAAAAATTAAATGCATACATACTTTATGCCTCAATAACTCGAAATCCACACAAAGATATTTACAGTCTGAAAGTCAAGTTATTTAGGGTATGTCTCGAATTGTGTTGTTTTTCTGTTTTATAAACCTTGCTATGTGTGGCCAGAAAATTTGATATCCGAACTACCACTGTTTTCACAATTAAAAAATTAAAAAATAAGAAATATCGACGAACCATTGCCTTCTTTTAAAATTTCTAAAAGAAAGAAAGATCTTTTAGCGGTTTTCCATTACCAGTGAAAGTTATCCGAAGAACACAGCACTTACGGATGAAAATATGTTGAGGCGATTAAAAAGGGGCAGTTATAAAATAGAACAAAAAAGGCTCAATTGATCTAATAGAGGTATTCCACCGTCACGGGTGGGACATATGTACAGTAAAAATGTACTTTCTTTTTTAAATTTAAGTATGAAGAACTCAAGAATTATAAATTTTGATAAAGCTACACCTAATTCACTTTTATATGAGTTATTGACAAATACGAAAAAAATTCCAACT